AGTAATGGGCTTCTGCTCATAATTGATATTTGTGTCAGTTGCAGGTGATTGGTGTCAAAAGTAATAAAAAGAGGCCAAATTCCAGAAGACTATTCATTCCAGAGCGTGCCCACATCAGAGACTACAGAGTTACGTCCAAAAGATGTACCGCGGGACTTATCCCTGGAAGCAGCCGCTATTCTTGGGAGACGTGTTTTGAAGCTGCGTGTTCAGAGAATACCTTTGGCAACAACTCAAGGAGGAAAATAAGGAAACTATCCTTTAGGGAAACAAGCTCTCGATTGGCAAAATTCGATGGCGCCACAAACACTTTAAATAGAACAGCAATAAACTAGGGTCTGGCATCTTTGGTCATTGGATCTTTTTCTTCCCTTCTTAACGTGAATCAGAGACCAGCGGTTGTACCGCTTTTTACTTCTTTTCAATCAACTAAATTCCATTAAATCTTTCAATTGCATCATCGTTCTGAAGCAAGGTTAGGTTCCTTTATCTAGTTGAGGAATAATCAAGACCCGATGCACGGACAATTGTGAGATCTTTTAATTGTTTTAAATTCTGCATTCGTGAGTATTTAATTACTCCTTATTTTAATAGCCTATTATTGTTTGAATTTATTGGATCAATGTGGCCAGTTGTTCAATTGTCTGAATAGTATACTGCCAATTAGGACAAGAGTGCGTATCACTTGATTGTCTTAAATTAGTGGTAAACGGCACAATTTCATTGCCTCGCAAGCAGTCTAATATGGGTCCTAGGAATAGTTAATCTAATTTAAATGAACCCGCATGTGTATCTGTTAACTAGAATCAGGTCTCTCTAATTCCTAAGATTGTGAATAGATTAAATCTTTCGAACGTCTCTGGGGTTATCTATTTTACAAGGGAGTAGTTTAAGAGCGTCTCTGGACTACCGTAAAATTAAGGAGAGATTGGTAGTTTGGCGGTTGCTAAATTGCTAGAACCAATTTATTTGTGAGCGTGTGAATTATTCGTGGTATCTATGATCAATTGCGTGAACCGGTGCCGAATTTAATTCTTTGACTAGGTTGTGTTGATTAATTGTTTATTACATTCGTTAGCTACTTTATTTCTGCTAATTAGCAATTCAATACCCCTACATCCTTAATTTATTTCTTTTTCCTTCCTAAAATCCTCCAAATTATCTTTGTACAATAAATCTACCAGTTCCCTGAAGAGACGACCCTACTCACTATTATACTCATTCAGTTTTGGGAGTAGATCTCATTATAAATTTTATTTTTGGTAGTTTGACAGCCACTAGTTTTCTTATTATTCTTTGGAATTTTCCTTTCTAGAATACTTACAGGAAGCTTTTGCATATTAGCATGGGGCTAGTTTTCACGCTTTGCTGGCCAAGGTTCAGGTAATTTAAATTTACATACTAACAAAGTAGAGGGAAAAAAAAAGAGGCCATTCTTATTTGCTTGAGAATAGAAATGGCGTTTAATTTAATTTATTATGATTTTTGACAGTTCTGGTAATCAAGGAGGGTTTTTAGCAGCTATGGTTCCTGGTTTCAATGCTTTCAAATTGCTTCTTTTGGGACTCGAAATGCGGAAAGATGAGAAGGCTGTTAAGTTGATGAGCGGATTGGGAGATCACTATAGGTTCTGGCACCTTAACAAAATGTACTAGAACACTAAACCAGATTACGTAAAGGACATTAATTTTCTAATCCCACACTCAACATCTAATCCATCCTACTCTAGGGAGATGGGGAATCCAATTAAATTGTATAACTTACTACAGAGAAGGCCCATCTATGCCAAACGGGTACATTAGCATACCAGTAGATTATTTTTACTGTAGGAGTTGGGATTTGACTCCAACCCACGGGCCAAAGAAGGATCTTATATCCCTTCTGGTTGCCGATTTATTTTTGACAAGTTGATTTAATATATTTCCCATGAAGACTATACATCGTGATTAACAGCCTTTAGTGCAGTTTTGTGCAGCATTTTATAACAGCCATATAAATGACAGGTTGAATATTAGGGCTAATTGCAATATGCACCTTTAAACCATGCATTTTTCTCTCTAAATTATCAATTCGTGACACATGATTGTCCACATCGATAAGTTGAAGCCAATTTAAATTTTCTAAGTGTTTTTTAATGCAACGACTGTAACAAACCTAATTATTTTTCTTTTTTTTTATAAAATATGTGGGAAGTCTCGAATTTGTGACCTTTCACTTACACTTCCTCCTTCTGAACCATTCAACCCATCGCTTTTCCTTTATAACACACCTTATTTGCTTTTGTTTATCGAAGTACTTTTATCCATTTATGGGTACTATGTCTGTTTAAGCAAAAAATATCTATCTAATTTGTTAGATTTGAAATAACCAATATGCTACAAACTGATGGTGTAAGATACTTTAATGCTACAATCGAAAGCTAAAAATAAAAAGCACTAGTGATAGTTTGTGGGTACACATAACAATTAAACATTGATAATATAATCAACATCAGGAGAGTCATATAAATTGTGCGATATAATTCTATAGTAGCAAATTAAGACAAAACTGAATTTGACCCAAACACATATCAATGTTGGCTTAATCAACTCTATCATAACGATAAACACAATAATGTGTTCAATCAGTATATATTTTCCTAATTTAACAGGCTTTGAATGTTGTGTGTGGAGGTTCCAAGGCTTGAAAATTATGCAACTCTAACCATTAGGATTTACAAAATGCTTCTACATATAAACATGATTCTTGTCAACTTCCAGTGCAAAAAGTGTAGTTGAACTTTTCTTCAATATTTGTAAACCAACTTATCCAACTTGCCCGTTGGCTAGCTGGTTCCTAGGTTTACAGGTTTGATCAACCAAGTCAAATAATTATTTGCTTTGAGAAGATTAAAATATCATTTTTACTTTTTAACTTTGAAAAAGTACAAAAGATAGTTATTGTAAACTTTGATTAAAGTGTATTGACATATTTTTAACTTTGATATATTTATTTCAAGTAAAATTTATCAATTGTTAAACGGCAATAAAAAATAAATGGTAGCAGCACAAAAATTTCCATATTGTCTTCATCACCAATTGCTTAATGATTGAAAGCCTCTACATCTTTCAATGGCTTCATAAACTAAGCTTGGCTAATTGTTTCATTCAGGCAAATTCTCAAGGCATCATTTTATTACCTTACCGCAATCTCCTTAGCCAGTGTTGTTTATTGGAGAACTTCTCCGGTGGCTGTTGCAGCAGTATGCAAACTTTGTGCTGGAGATCGTACTATTCTTTGGTCCATTCTCATTTTCTTTAACTACATTATCAAGTCAAATCAATTGTTTCTCGCTTGTATGCTTTTTCCTTATTTCTTGTTTTTTTTCCCATAAAATAAAAACAAGAGCCAGTGTCTAGCTTGTTATGTTTCAAACTTTCCATACAGCAATCAGGACTCAGGAGTATTTGGATTTTGTATTCTTATCCTGCTCCAGGTATAGCTCCTATTGTGGGGAGGCGTTTCGGGAGCCTGAAATTACCATACAATAAAAACAAATCCGTTGCTGGAATTATTGCAATGGTGGCAGCTAGTTTCTTACCCCCATTTTCACATTATCAAAACTTGATGTACAGTTCCCTGACAAAAAAGGTTGCGCAACAGGTAGATGCACTATTTCTCGATATTTGGGTACCTTCAAGAAAGCTGGAAAATGGTACACAAATTCTTTGTGGATTAGTGGTATCAGCACAAAACATGATGACAATTTGACAGTTCCCCTTGCTTCTATTGGGTAAACTAGAGGGATTCATCAAGGGCAGCTGAGGATTTCATTAGTAGCACTTAATTAATTTTACCAAACTCAAAATGATGTTATTGAAGGTATGTGTTAATTAGTTTAGTTAAACATGCATTTGCAAAATTATTTGTATCAATTAATTCGATCAAAACTCAATGGTTCAAAACTTCTCCAAAGGCCCATTTTTTCGGCACATCTAAATTTATCTGCATTGGATTCCGAAAGAACGGCTACAAGAAAAAAGATTATTAGTGATAACATTTCTTTGTGACGACAAAAAGTCGTCACAAAATGAGGTTGTTTAGTCACGACTTTGAAGGTTGTCACAATTGACTCAAAGCAACTGAGTTTTCAGTGACAACCTTTAATTGTCGTCACAAAACTACTTCGTGCCAGGGGACTTGGAAGGCGCGAGATTTGCGATAGTGACGACTTGATAAATGTTGTCAGTAATTATACCGCTTTCTTTGACAACATTTCATTGTTGTCACTGTTTATGTTTACTGACGACCAATTTTCATCAGTAAAATTATAGCGTAGTTAGTGACAACATAAGTATCATCACTAACTTGAACATCTCTAATGCATTTATTTAATTGTGAGCCTCAATATTAATTTAATTTTTTTAAAATTTGATGATTTATTAAACTAGTCATAGTTACTTAAATATTAATTTAATTTTTTAAAAATTTGATGATTTATTAAACTAGCCATAGTTACTCAATAGGTTTTTAACTGAAAAAAATTAATGAAAGTTTCTAGTTAGAACAACTATATAAACTATTACAACTTGAGAAAGAGTATATTTACCAGTTCTTTGAATTTAGCAAAAAATTTTCATCCATTATAATTTTTTGATAAATATGTTAAGAAGTAGTGATTACAAATACATTAGTAAATTTAAATAAAATTTGAAGCTAAAAATTCACTTGTAATATTAATATCGGATCAACTGTTTGATGTCATAAAAAAATTAACTATTTGAAGCAGAACCAAGGTGCATTTACCACTTGTAATATTTCAACATAATTTTCTCATCCATTATGAATATTTTCACAAAAATATTTAAAAGTAGCAAGTAATATTATATTAGTAAAATATTAATTCAACTAAAATATTGGAAACTAAAAAACGTTGATTGAAATTTTGGTACTGAACAAGTAAGGGGGAAATATAAGGAATTGAAATTTCATTCAAAGTCAATATTTTGAGGAGGGGCGCGGAAACACTTAGAACACTTAGAACCAAATAGCCAACACTACCAGTATCCTAAAGCCAACACTACCAGTATCACCGAACAAAACACCAGCAGTATCCTAAAGCCAACAGCCAACACTTAGAACCAACCGTAGCACACTGCTCCTTATCTCTGCCGAAACATCTCCTCGCCACTCCTAATTGATCTTGGCTCGGAAATGATCAAATAGAAGACCACATTTAGCAGCAACTCTCTACCAAAAAGGTATGCCGATTCTCGGCGGAAGAAATCAGAAAATGAAGGAGGGCAGCGGACAAGGATTAGCAAAGAGAAAAACTATCGGGCAAGCCAACGGAAAAGAGAGGGAGCTTCGGCTGAGGAAAGAATAGCTACGAAAAGAGGAAAAAAAGAGGGAAGGAAAAGGAGAGCGGCGGAAAAGAAAAAAAGCAAAAGGAGAGAGTTGAAGTCAGAGAGAGGTAGACTAAGAGAAGAAAGGAAAACAGAGAGGAAACTATGGCAGAAATAGAGCAAAAGTAAACCCCAGAAACCCTAGTCGACGGTGAGGTGAAGGAATCGTCCACTCAAGACATGAAAATAGTCGAAGCCCAAGCTGATGACGCGGCGGTTGGCGGTGCCGGCAGTTTAAAGCGCGTCAGAGATGAAGCTGACGAGGAGGGAGAGAACAACGAAGATGTCAAGAAGTTGAAGGCTGATGATAAGCACGTAGAAGAGGAGAGAGGCAGTTCAACGGCTTGATTGATGTCTACACCAGAGGTCCTCATTGGATGCTTGCCTTGGAGAATTTTGCTTTGGCTAGACCATGAGAGGTAATTTCTTCGTTTACAGTTCAGTCTTCCTTCTGTGTTTTACATAGCCCGTGAATATATGTGTTTTATATGATGCTGGGATTGAAATCCATTTTGTTCTGATGAATTTTGGGGCTAGATATAATATCACTTGAACAAAGAATCATTGAAATTTTTAATGCCCATGACCTGTTTGATAAAAAGCCCAAACGAAAGTTTTGAACCAAAAGAGGGGATTTTGTGCTTTTTTATTCAATATGGACTCTGGCCAGTCCAAAGTTAGGCAGAATCCGTGCGTTTGCTAGTCGGGAAGAAAAAGAAAAGCCATGATTCTTGAAGTTGATTTTTTCCACTTTTTCGTTGCATTCCGCGATGTTCAGAGCATTTTTGCCGTGCGTTTGCTAAGTACAATTGTCATGTTGATTGTTCAGGATTTTAGATCATATGTGCCTTATGTGTTAAATTGAACTGAAAGCTCTTGCTTATTGAACAATTTTGGGGCCGATTAACTTCAATTGGAGCAAAAGTCTGATGAAATTTCTAATGCCCCAACCTGTTCGACGAAATGCCTAACTAGGTTCTGATTGAAAAATGTTTGCCCTGTTTGCTGGTTCACCGAGTAGCGTTTGGAACTAGAATGATATGATTTCTCCAAGTTGCCAGATTGGTTTGAGAATTTGAATGTAAATAGACAGCAATCTATTCGTTAGTACTTATGGGCTGTTTTCTCTTGTTTATCTCTTCCATTTCATAGGTTCCCTCTGTTTCATGTCTCTCTTTGATAAATTAGTCAGATGTTGAGAATCTTTTTACTGAGCGTGAGTCATGCCCAGAATGCACGTAACAAAAGTCTGCTGGATGGCAGTTTGTTGATGGGTGTTTCCTTTTCCTTGTTGGTTACTCACACGCCTATATGGCTGTCTTTCTTGATTCTCCTTGCTTGCATTATGCTTGTGATGTCTTAAGTCCGTCTCTCATGTTTAACTTCGCTCTTGTTACATGAAGCAGCAAGTTCCGTTTAGCTGGAACCCTTTTTCTTTTATGCTTCACATTTCGCAATTCGTAAAGTCCGCGGCTTATAAATTTGTTGCACAGCAATTCACAAGCTCTATGTTCATTTGCATTTGTTAGCATTGAGGTTTATCCTTTGGGTTATGATCGTTTCATCATGATTAGTTTCCAGGTCTCCAAATGTATGAAGAAAATTTGTTGTTGTTTTCCCTTTTTGCTCATTTGCCGTTTTTTATGCTCCATGATGTTTCTTTTTCTCATTTTACTCTTGCTGTGAGTAAATCACCTTGAGTTTATAAAGTAAGTTCATGCATAACTTTGCTATCACTACTGGTCGTTGTGGACAGAGTAGGAAGATTTGATATCTGCTTACTAATTTAGGTTAGAAATGAACAGCAAAAACAAAGTACTGATTTAGCTTTTTGAATACTTGCTAAACATTAATGTCATGCAATTTCCAGTTAAACCTAATGATTTGCTATGTGGTGTCCTGATTCTAGTTTTTCTGTTTGCAATGACATTTAGGCTTTAAAGCTCAAACGGAAACTTTGATGGCTCCTAATTACCGCCTTTACTCTGGAAAATCCTTTCTTTCCTTGTTGAATTTTATCATGGCACTGTCTTCTTCATTCCCTTTGTCTCTGCTAACCAAAGCTTCTGATTTCTTGTTAGAAATATGGTGCAGACAATTTGTTGTTCTGTCTCAGACCCTTCGTTTCTGAAATTAGCTCCTACTTAGTTGCCAAAAACTGTTGTTCGATGATATGTAAAGTTGCAGACGGAAATGGTAAAGTAATTCAAGTAAAGAACTAATTACTAGTAAATTAGCAAACATGAACCTGAAGAGGACCTAATTGTAGCATTGACAGAATAACCATCTTCAAGAAGCCTTTTGATCAACCATGATGCCAAAAGTCCAGTTCCACCTGTTACACATACTCTCCCCTTCTCCATCTTCTCCCCTTCCATTAATTTGTGTCCGTCTAGCCTTTAATACCAGTATAGTACTGTTTGGTCTCTTTGCAGTGGATTGTCAGTTTCAACTTGAAGAATTAATGTATTTCCAGTATAGTATTTCACTTGAAGAATACCAATATAGTACATGCGGAATGTATTTCCTTCAAGTAGTTAAAGGGAATCTTCCTTGTTAGTTAGACTGTTGTGCTGAGTCAACAATCAAGTAGTTATTTTGTTATTCTTGAGCTGTATAAGAATGCAGAAATCCGGATTGGGCAACATAGAAAAATCATTTTGAATAATATCTCTCTTTCTTCTTCCTCAAGTCTAGTTTCTCTCCCCCTTATCACTCTATTTCTACTGCAATTGCTGCATTCATTACGGTGGTATCAGATTAGTGAATGCTTGTTACTTTTGTTGTTTATTTAGCAATTAGAGACTGTTTTGCTTTTGTCACCTAATAACTTTACTACTTTATTGCAGATATATTGCTCATTTTGGAGGTTTCGAAGAAGATTAGCAGTACGGCTTACATGTCGGCTCAAAAACTGTGGTTATAGTGCTGTCTTAAGTTTAGAAAATGTTTCGGAAGCGCAGGAAATGTTTTGGGACTTGGAATATGTTTTTTAGTGCAGTCTTGACTTATATGAGTAGTATTTGTTCTACTCAAACTTATGAAACTATTTGTACTATGATGTTGCACTTATTTATGACATTTGAATATTTAATATGTTATTCTGGCATATTCTATTGTAACGGGTGCCGACGTTTGTTATTTATTAAACATTGCTGATGTTTTCATTTTTTAGATATTATTGTAGTAGGAAAGTCATGTGTAAGGTGTTGTAAATGAGTAGTATTTTTCTAGGCAAGATGTCTTTATTGACAATTGTTATTGTCACTCAATCAAAACTGTCTATTGATAAGGGATTGTTGCCACAGTTGATCAGGGGTTTATTGACAACAAAGTTGTCACTAATTCCCCTATGCCCTCACTACCGTCCCTCCATGCATCACTGACAAGAGAAGGTGTCGTCACTAGATTTATAGTTTTTACTGATGACATATGTTGTCATAAAAAATTTCCTTCACTGACGACTCTAAGGTCGTCACTGTATACTTTCATTTTTTACTGACGACATAGATTGTCATAAAAAAGCTTCTATTTACTGACGACTTTAAAGTCGTCACTGTATACTTTTACCGACGGAGATTCAATGACGACCCTGCGACAACTGAAATGTTGTCAATAATGGTCATCAATGACGACTTTTTGATTTTTTGTGACGAAAGGTAGTTATCACTGATGACCAAAATTCTTGTAGTGACAAGTCCTGGTTTGTTAAAGTGTTAGGATGTTGTTCGTCATAGTTTTTTTTTTTAATTTTTTAATTTTACTTTGATAGTTTCCTCTTGAGAAGTTCTGGGGCAAATTTTTAAAACAATAATTGAAAGCAAGATTTTTTTTTTTCTTTTTCAATTAGCTCGATCAACATATGGAGGGATTGATTTGAATAAGGCCGGTAAATTGTTCACATAATAATCATGTAGAAAACACTACCACATGAATGTCTACATTCATGATTTAGTTCCAACTTCCAACTGGAAAACTATACCGGGACCATGAATTAGAGAATGGACATACATTCCATCCATTTTTTTTTTTTTGAGAATATATGCAAAGATTTTCAGCAAAGTTCATCCCATTCGTATGCTTCTTGTTAAGTTCAAGGATATAAATTTGTCTACAATGAAACCAACAAATATGTTTTTATTGCAGTACTTTATAACATTTGAGTTCCATCTTATTGATTCCAAAGACACTTAAGCCTCTTCACCGTTTTTACCAACAATTGATGATCAATATCCATGCAATTGGTAACAAGAAATGCCTAAACATCAACTAAGGCCTCCGGTAGTAAGCAATTATGGTATATACAGTCTGGGCAAAGGTGAAGGCAAAAAGAAACATTGAACCTATTACAGATATACTTGCCCATGGATTCTTAAAGTAAGCCCTAACAAGATTGGCTCTCCAACGAACCCGAGGTCTACTGCAGTATTTGATAACCTTCTTTTCGACCATGTAAACTGAGCTATCAGGATCAATTGTGATCTCTGGTTAGACTAAACGCAAGAGAATTTTGGATGATCCCACAAGAGCGAAGGAGACTAATGTCCTTGGAATCTCGGATAATATTGTTCATGAAAGCAAGATAGTTAGTCACTTCTCTGCCTGCGCCGACGTGTAAACGCTCGAAAGCTAATAGGTTGAGAAAGAATGTTTCAGTAATATTATCCACAACAATTACAGGAACCTTGAGGGTGACGCAGAAAACACCTTTGTAAAATCTGATGTCCTGGAGACTTGTACTTCTACTCCTTTGAATTTGGATTCCTGCTTCGTGAAGCTCTGTTGTAGATGGAATTGTCTTCTCAAGAACCCGACTTGGCCATATTTTTCTACGTCGATGACTGGCATCGGAAGGCAAGAGCAAAACCCTGTGACAAATATCTAATACATGCAAGGATTTGTCTATGGATTTGTGGCGACTGTAACTGTCGAGATTGTAGAGGCGAAACAACAGCTTGTTGATGTAATCCTCTGCCTATATGCAACATGAAGATCAATTTGCTCAAAAGTTGATGCACTCAGAGCTAGACTTGCATATGTAGAGTATGATAATCTAACGTATTTGTTCAAATCGGTGTGTTATAAAAGTCGCAGAAACGCAGATAATGAGAAGGAAAATGATGTAAGCGTGTACTGTTTATATACCTTTATCACTAATACTTTGCAAAATTATGATAATTTGGAATAAATTAGTGCTTCCTTTAGGGTATGCATTATCCAAATTAGTAGTGTAAGGTGTGAAGTGATAATAATTGATAAATTTACGGTGTAATTTTATTCAAAATATAAGTTAAAACATCGTGTAAAGTTAGAACTTTCTAAATTTGTCACACAATAAACTTTCAGAAAATCAACTTCAGACCTTGACCGATCCATCCATCTATGCTGGTATAGGACCGGGTTTTGCTGAAAGAAGAGGTCATTTTGTGACAGGAACGCTAAAGGATCAACCAAATGCTCCAACGCATTTATTTGTCCCAAAATTCAAATATATTATGATTTGTATAATCAAAGGCTTCATTTAGGATTACCAACCTAATGGCAGACAAGCATGGGTTCTTAGAATCATAATCATTAATTTTGCACAAATTGTTTGATATGTATTCTTTTTTTAAAAAAAAAATGCACCATCAACCATTCTCAAATTTGAGCCCACCAAATACAGTTGTTCCAGATAGATGGGGCTCCATGCCAAACGTTATTCACGAGATCAATTTATTTCTCAAGACCAATAACTCTTTTTTTTTGGGGTTCCAGAGGGACCGTGGTGGTTGATTAAGAAAATAAGAACTGCTCGGAACACAAATTGCCTACCAAAAATGGGCCTATTGATGAGGATGAAGGCCACAGCGAATCTGATTGGTCTTTAATTTTATGCTGGTGTAGGACCGGGTTTTGCTGTCGGGCTCTTGGGAGTTTTGGGAATCCTTCTCTTCAAGAAGTCATGGCGCTATGCATACTTCCAAGTTTATAGAAAGTGCATTGAAGACTACTCACCTGAGGAGGAATTTCTGTTAAGTACATATAAAAGGCACCACAATTTGCGTAGCATACTATCCTTGATAATTTGCTCTTTGAAAATTTCACATTTTTGTAGACATTCCTTCATCTGACTTGTTCTTTTTGCTTTTGTATGTTGATTGTAGAGAACTAAATAGAACTTAACATTGATAATTTGAAAATTTATTGTAATTTGTAATTTGTTTTTTCCAAATATTTCTAAATATTTGTGGTATGCATCCCAACTTGCCCAATTCTATCCAATAAGAAAATGATAGAGCTTAATAAGTTATTTATTTTCAAGCAAAGAATAACGTAGAAATTGAAACGTAAAGTAGTAGATGCCGGTTACCAATTAACTATCCCAGATGATTCTAACACCAAATCAATAGCTTTCGAAGGAATTTTTCCCCAGTAAACTATTATTTGGTTGGAAGCCAAATATTTCCTTTCCTTGCCTTTTGATAATTTTGATCCCAAAAACTAGATAACAAAACCTTTCTCTCGTTCTACTAGCAATTGTTTCAACTCTTAAAAAAGTTTGAATTCAAATAATTCTCTTATATTATCCATATTTACATTGCAGTCTATTATGTTTCATTAAAGTCCATATTACGACAATCTCATTGATTTTTGTTTATTTACAACCGGTTATAAAGATAATTATTTTACTGTTAGCATTTGAATGGAATAAATATTCTATGTCGAACAATTTAGGTTGTTTTTCTTGTTCACTGATCTAATCTTCTGTCAACGTTTTATGCTTTAGAAGAATTCTATAGTAGTTTATGCTAATAGTTGATGTAGTTATTTAATTTCTAATTGGTTTTCAATCTAGCTTTTTTCTCAAAAACTCTTACAAACTACTAATTAATGTTTTTCAGGTACTTTTGAACCATTGATTATTCTAGATGAATAGATTTTTGTATTCATATAATGCTGATATATATTTTTCCTTTCCTAGATTAGTTTTCTACCTCAAAAGGATAAAGGGAATAAAAAAGGGGAAAATTTTTGAAACCTTACAAACAGCGCGGTTGTTTGTGACTTGAGTAAAGTAGATTTGATCAAGGCTAGAGGAAAGAAGTAGACAGAACTTAAGGTCCATATCCCCCCAGAAGCAGCTTCTATCATCGTTGATGTCCAGGAAAACCAAAGATATTAGACTGGCAACTCTGATAGATGACATCAACAATTTAAACTCTTTATTTCAAAAATGCACATTTTGTTTAGATATAGCAAATGACAATATAAGTAAATCTGTTAGTATTTATGCAGTTGGCATTTGTGGTGATGAGGAATGGAACAATCTTCAAGGTGTCTAACACTTTTGAATAGTCTCTTGGAGCCGTTGCTCTACCAGTGTAAAGTTATGAATTATCAATACTTCGTTTCAGCAAAAAAAAAAAAGCTCAAGAACTACTTTTTGAAGTGACTTTCTCACATTTTTCTGCAAATCAATTGTACTGAATAGGTGCAAAGATCCATAGAATTTCATACAAAAGTAATGTTCTATGAAATTAATTTCACGTAACCCCTTTGACGTATAACATAATTGCAAAAGCTAGCAATAGGCATCGAGAATCACACTTAGCTCTCATATTTTAATGCTTACATAAACAAACCCAAATAAGATTAGCAAAATGTTGCTTTGATTTTCCCAAAATATGCTTTTCTATCTACAAATGCAGAGATGAAAAAAAATCAACCGTTGACTTCTTCATAACTTCCCACCGTAAACAAATTACACTATTGTGCCATGTAACATTGTTTGATCAAACATAGTAACTAGAGATTTTTTTACTTTGTTTTATTTTTATTTTAGTGTAAGTAGAAGGTCTTGAATCCAGAATCGATCTCTTACTTGTACTCCCTTCTTCTTATCACCCAATCCATCTGATAGGTATTGGATCTGTGCAATAATAAAATCATACTCTCAAAGATGTAAACAAGTACAATGGCAAGTAGCGTTGTCTTTATAGGGATTAGGAGGAAAATTTGTTTCTTTCCAAATGAGAATTAATCGGGAGAGTCTGGACAATTGAAAATGAAAATAAACAATCAATGCAAATAAAAAATAATTAAACTAAAACAAGTTAAACTTAATTGAATGATAAACGAACTCTAACCAAGGAAATAACTCCGGGAGTGGTTCAAATGACTGATTATCGATACAATAATTATTTCAATTATTCGCTAATAAACATAAACAACCAACTTTTCCTTAGTGTTTCAATAGTTAAGATACG